GATGTACTTTGGACATGTTGCGAGGAGGGACCAGTCCTTGGAGAGGGATATCATGCTTGGAAGAGTGGAGGGACAGGACAGAAGAGGAAGACCCTCGATGAGATGGATTGATTCTGTGACTAGGGTAATGGGGGTAGGTGTGTTGGAGATCATGAGATTGGCACAGGATAGAGCAGGGTTTAGGGCTGTTGTACACAGGGTCGCTATGAGTCTCAGGAGACTCGACGGCACATAACAACAACAACAGTATCCTCTTATTCTATTCAAACGATTTCTTCTTTGTCCACACACAAGTTTCCCATTAACACAATAAAGTGTTCTTGGATTCCTGTTCTCAATGTTAGCCATAATTTATTATGATCCACACAATCATATGCTTTTATATAGTCAATAGAATACAAGTACTCCTTCCTTTTAGCCAAGATCCATCTGATGTCAGCAATGGTATTTTTTATTCAAGGCCTCTTCTGAATCTAGATTGAAATTTTGACAGTTCCCTGGCAATGTACATTTTTAAACAATCTTCAGTGAGACTTTACCTGTGAGTTATATTAGTGATACTATTTGATCATTTCTGCATTGTGTTGGATCCCATTTTATGAGTGTGGGGAATGGGCACAGATACGGCTCTCTTCCAATTGTCTGGCCACTTAACCCATCTTCTAAATTTCATGGCATAGGCAAATGAGCACATCCTGGATGCTGCTGCTGTATTTGAAACTCTGGTTATTGTGCAGCATCGCAGCAATATGCAAGTGACCACAAACTGGCAAATGAGTGAATGTGGCAACTTCACACTCGGGATTTAAAAGAAAGTTGTTGATCCCCTTTCCCTCTAGATAGAGCTGAAACATCTGGAATATGATCATCTAAAAGTCAAGTCTCGTGTCCTGACATCTCCCCCTGTACTTAACTGTTCCTCTAAGGTTGTTCTCATTTTCATATGGGACCATCATTAGGACAGCAAGGAAGGCACCCTAAGCAGACAGATGACACTACTCTGTCCCCAACTGACACAGGTAAGGAGAGAGGCCACTCCATCCATATGATTAAAATGATCAACATTGAACAACTGGAAAACAAAGCCTAGAAATTAGGTCATGCTGTGGGCCAGGTGCCCTGTGGTGAGCACTAAAAGGTGCATGTGTAGTTACCTCAAGAGAGCTCTGGTGGCATAGTCGGTAAAGGGAGGAGCTGCCAATCCAATGACCACCCCTCTCTGGTGGTTCGAATCCACTAGTGACTCCATACGAGAGAGATGACCATCTCCTCCTGTATGATGTACAGCTTTGAAAACCCAGTGGAGGTCAGCTGTGAGTCAGCTCTGACTGCAGTGAGTCCAATTTCCTTGAAACTGCAAACGAAACTCTTTCTCTTCTTCCCATTGTTTATTTCTACTTGTATCTCACAAATATTTTAATTTATATAATTTTGGTTTTAATCTCCTCACTCTGGATTATAAATTCCATGAGGACAGGGATCATTATATGTTCTTGTCTCCCCTCATTTGTCTATCCAGAGCCCACACTCCTGTCTGGCATTTATAAAAGTTACTCAAAGAATTGATAAATTAAAATAATTAATGACACTGTGTGGTGTATCACTCACAAGTTTCCCTGAACCATATGATGTTATTATCCTATCCCAGAAAGCAGAGACATAAAGGAGGAGTCTGCTCTGACAAACTAGCACCTATTTCTCTTCTAAATAAAAATTAAATGTTAAAGTCAAAGTCATTACTGTGAAGTCAGAAACAATTAACAGCTGACCTTCCAGCAGAGGCTTTAAATTACATGGAAAGAGATTGTCCATCTTCTCCCAATGGAGCCGCTGGTGAATTCGAACTGCCTGCCTTTGTGTTGGCAGCACAACTCTTTACCTACGAAGCAACCAGAGCTTCAAGCTAGTGACTACCAACTGAGTATAACTGTGTGTTCTGTCTATTTTTTTGCAGACAGACAGACTATACCTCAGCTCTGCAGGCAGCTAATTGTAAGACTCCAGGAACGAGAAGCCACTGGTGGGAATGGGTGGGATCAGCCATTCTACGCCGCTACATTCACCTGTGATCCTGCCAGACACAGAGACATTGAATGTTCATAAAATGAAAGTCACTGTTATTTCTAGAAAGACCTGCCAAAGGGTAAATACTTACTAACCCCCAGATCACCGTGCCCCTTCTCATGTTGCTGGACAGGTAAGCCATGGTTCAGGTCAGATGTTGTGTCTACCACTGCCTTCAGTGACTGCCATGCTGCCCTGACTTCTGTTCTGGCTGCCAGCAAGAGGACTGTCATGGGGGGGTGGGTCTCCAACACTTCTGCTGCTGAGCCCTTCTAAGCCTCTGACACTGGCCCTGGCCACACTGCTTAGGCCTGGAGGCTCTCATGTTTCCATACTACCCAGCCACTGCCACTGGGGGAGAGAAGTAGGCATTCAAACCCTTGACTGGGCACACTCAGGCCTCTCTGGCCCTGCACAGACAACAGTACAGTTCTCATACCTTCAACGATCAGCCTCCTGCCCGGAAGCATTCAGCTCTTCCATACCATGGGAAGAATCCTGCACACTCGGGCCTTAGTCCCACACAGGCAAGTGTTACAGGTCATTTAGCTACACCAGCAAACCACCTGCCCTAAGCACTGCCTCAGCTGGCCAGCAAGCCCACCGCCTATCTCTTATCATTCCATACCATCTTCAGTTTTACAGCTTTTTTCTGAGTCTAAGAGGTTCTTAGCACAGTGACCCCTGGTGCTTTGTCCAAAGGACATGCTCCAGATTCTTTTTGCTGGTATGAGATCCCCTGAACCTCTGTAGAGCTGGCCTTTATATAAACAGATTCTATCTATTTTGAGGCAAGGCACAGTCCACCAGAAAGAACCACAAATTTTCCAATCCTCTCTAAAACAAACATCCAATCCATTGCTGTCAGGTGGGTTCGGACTCATTACAACCCTCCACCAGGTTTCCAAAGCTGTAAGTGTTTAAACAAGGAGACCGCCCTTCTTTCTCTTGAGTAGCAGCTGATGAATTCCAAACCACCAGCCTTCTCACTCTGGGTCCTATACGTTACATATTACACCACCAGAGCTCCTTGTGTTGATCATAAATCATTGACATTGTATAGTCCCAGGCAAGTATTTTTCTGGTACTTACAAAGTCACAGGTGGAAAGTTCATACAAAAGCAATTTATCACACCACAACAACATATCTATTTCTGGTTTGGGTGCAAAGAATTTTAGGTTCAGGAAAGATCTGAGATTTCCATATTATGTTTCTCTTAATGATGAGATTGTGTTTCTGTTCTCTTGTTAATGAAACATTTATTTGTGTAAATTGATTCTAATAAGAAACAGAAGGGAGTTCTATCTAGGTAAGGGGAAAAGAAAGAAAAACCAAAAAAGGAGAGAGAAAGAAAAAAAGAAAACTATTCCTCTTCAAACCTTTTGTTACCCAGAGGGACACTTCTTTACAAATTGAAATGGGAAACAACGTAGCTCAAGTTTTCAATGTAATGACAGTACCTGGCATGTATCAGGACCTATGCTGAGTATTTTACATCCACAATCTCATTGCATTTTCACAACAGTTCTGCAGAGTATTAACAGTCCCATCTTACAGATGAAGTATTATAATAAGTCTTAAAGAGATGAAATAACTAGCAAACAAGAAAACGAGAACTAAATAAAATTTATTCTTTCCGAAAGGTGGAGGGTCAGTAAAAGAGATTCAGCCCCTCAAGAAGATGGATCGACACAGTTAACTGTAACAATGGAGTCAGCTTGGCGGAGATTGTGAGGATTGTGAGGGTAAGGGCAAGTTTCATAAGGTCACTGTGAGAGGTGGTAGTCAACTTGACTGGCCCATAACAACAACAGCTTGTACAGAGCTGTCAGAATTAAATCCAATCCTGCCTTCCTTCCACCCCACCCCCCACGTTATGGTTAGGTACCATTGAGTTGCCTCTGACTCACTGGGACCCCATGTACAACAAGAAGTCGCTGTGCTATCCTCACAGGATTCCATTCTACAATCAAGAGGAGAATGGACCTCCGTTGGCCATCGCAGACTCATTCTGGGGAGTTACAGACTATTATCCCCCTTTCATCTCTTAGTGAAAACAGGTGACACATTCAGCTATTACACAGGCCTGTTAACCAGAAGGTTGGCGGTTTGCATCACCCAGAGGAGGGAGCCTCCAAAGAAAGGCCTGGTGATCCACTTCTGAAAAAGCAGCCCAATCCCATAGGACACCACCATTCTTCTCTGACACACACGGGGTCAAAACCATCCCTTACAAGTATGTCACAACTTCTGAATTCAAGTACTTTCAACGCTCTTTAAAGTATTTTTTTTAATAACAAAAGAAAGCACTTTGTGTTTAAATAGCAAAAACAGTTAAATTATGTTTAAATAGCGAAAGAATGCATTACACCATGGTAAACTAGAGAGCCACAGAGACCTGAACTGAGAAGGGTGATAATGAATTCAGCATTGGCACTTCTGAGCAAACTATCAGAAAACACCCAAGGCTTCCAACTGTTCTAAGAAGGGAAGCAGGCAGCCCCTCGCTGTGTCATGGGGACTGTCAGCAACGCGGGGCGATAGCGGGACTCCGGGTCCTGCGCGCGCACGGCGGCCGCGCGCTCTCGCACACCCCCATGCAGACCCCGAGCGCAGGCGCGGGCACGCGCGCTCACACTCACACACCGGACCCCGCACGCATCGCACCACGCACGGGCCCGGCGGCCTCCCATCCACGCCCCCC